CTTTGAAAGATGAATCACGTGGGGCTAAATGACCAGACTCTAACAGGTGATCACAAACAGATGATTTCGCAGTTCTACGTTCACCTTTCATTAACCAAACCGGATAGTGTTCAGCAACACGTTTTCGGAGATTACGCTTACAACGTCCAATAAAACAGCTCCACAAGACATTTTATGCGAATAAGAGATTGCTGTGAGAAGTATAATTAGAAACATGCTCCTTGGTGTAGTCAAAAGTCGACAAATGATAGATACCCTTCTCATGTTAACTCCAAGTGTTTATATAAATTTACGTGTATCTAAGGGAGCAGTTACGTTGGGAGAGCAGAAGGGCACAGACAACTTCGATTTTCTGAACATGTACAGAAAAGCCTGGGAACAAAAGCTTTAAACATTACCATCGCTAAGCATTTACTTGACGCGAGTCATCAGGTGGAAATCGCAAAATCCTTTAAAATTATCAACAGACAAATAAGCTTAATTCTCCTCATGTTTGCTGAAGCAATCTCGATCAAACGCCTGAAACCCGATTAATGTGAGTGTTGTGAAAGCAGCGGTTAGCATCAGTATTTCCTTGCCCCCATCCTGGTAACTGGATGTTTTCACTGTCCCTTTCTTCCATCTGATTACGTAATCTTCGGCTTTGACCTCAAACGTCCCAGCTTTGATATAGTGTAATTTTTCTTATCTCTTATTTGTATGATTTCACTTGAACTCAAAATATTGTCACCCAATTTATTAGTCACTCATAATCTTTCGTCTTGAGTACGTAACTCCTCTACTACTGTAAGCATGCATTCAATTTGTTTAAATTTGACCTCCCTGTGAAAAAACTACATAAGCGTAATTTTCTGAGCACTGTTCACTAAGTTCGGAACCTCTCGTTAACTGGCGTCATGTAAAATTTGCAAGTATGTTTAACCTATTCTGTGCATAAGCTTAATATTTTATTTGGGCTGTAAGCTGATCAGAAGCCAACGAAATAAACAAAGGATGGTACCATATTATTCTGCGAAAACCACTGTTGTTCTTACTTTATACAAATTCATAAAGGCGAATAAATGTATGAAGAAAAATTAGAATTCATTTACTGTGAGCATATTTTCCATACAACCGGCTTTTAGCTACACTCATAATCATACTAGCCAGTGTAGAGTGGAGTTTAAAAACCCGAGATCCTACGGTCAAAAGAATCAAGACTAACCACTTTCAATGAAAGCTAGGCTGGCATACATCAACTTAAGCCACATCTGGAGCCGTCGCGACGTTAGCCTGGCTGTCAAAGGTCGGGTATACAATGCTTCGGTGCCGGCTGTCTTGCTCTACGCATGTGAAACCTGGCCTCCCCGAGCAGGCTGAGGATGTGAGGCGGCGGCTCTGTGTGTTCGATCATCGCTGTCTCCACAGGATTGGTTGCGTTCTATGACATCATCGCGTGAGTAATTCTCAGGTTCGGGGGCATGTGTTCCAACACAGTGGAGATCACCACTCATTGAGTGTCGTCATCTGGAAACACGGGCTCCGGTGGCTTGGACATGTGCTACGAATGTCATTCGAGAGGCTTCCGAACAAGTCTCTGTTCGCTAGCCCTGGGACGGGATGGAAAAGGGGGAGAGGTGGTCAGTCCATGACGTGGCGTTGTGGGATGAAGGATATTTGTGTTAGTTTAGCATTGGTTGGTGAGTCAGTCATGACTTTCTCGTCGGAATCCGAAAGATAGTTTGAATTGGTGGCTCGAAACGTTATCGGATATGGCCGAGAATCGCAATCACCAATAGCCAACGTGTTGCAATTTCCTTCTTTCTTCCCTTACCGATGATACTTAACGAACACTGTTTGAACTTGTTAAGCATGACTGTTTTCTTTCCAGATGAAGTTCTTTATCCGTTCTCTACTTATATTTTTTTTTACTTATGGTCTATGTTGTTTTATTATTATTGTGTGGCGCATCTTTCTTGGTGCCATATTGTACCAAGTTTTTTCTGCGTTTAAATAAATAAATATATAAAGCCACTTCCAATTGTATCTGTCAATTCAACTGAGTTTGTGGTGGAGCTAGTTATATCCACCGTTGCTCTGGGAGATTGATTTTTCGTGCATTCTCGAGAACATCTCCCAGTATGGCTAAGTAAAGGTGTAGTAAAATCCATCCACAGTTCAGTATTAGATCACCTGGTTCAAACCGGCCACAAAACCAGTCAGCATTGAAGAATCCTTCTCTATCATCTATCGGGTATCAAATAAATTGCCAAAAACATCCAGATAGCGTATGCTCCAAACAGCAGAGGCTATAACAACCAGTGCTTCGTGTGTAAAAGAAGCAAGTCCAACCCCTACTACTACCCTATCCGGCCTACACTAGAGACTATAAATTCATGAATTTGTAATATTATCTTTCCTAATTTGTCTGTCTGACATTCAGTTTATTATGTTGATGCTATTGAGCTGTAATTCATCCATATTATTGATTTGATGTTATTTAAACAACATTCATTTTGTTAATAATACACTAATTCAATCACTATTATGTACACATAACTGTAGAACCATTCTTTTCAACAGCAAAGTGTTATAAAGTCAATGAACTATATCTCTCCACTAAGACCGTAGACAAATAATCATGTCTTGCAATGTTGTAATGTAATACAATAAACACTTTCAGTAACTTAAGCGCTCGCAATCGATTTATGCAGTTTACTTCATCTACACTTGTATTCGCAGGAGGACAACATGAAACATTCTCTCTATTAATAGGATAAATATACATAATTTAAATCCAGCTCTCTATCATATGCGAGGGAATGTAGCCTAGTCACACACACACGCATACACTGATTAAGCTCCTGAAGAATCATATTCACACAATTGTGTTGTAGCCAGAGAAAAAACACCCGTATACGACTTATCCACATAGTATAGTCGTACAGACAGACGTCTCAACGCCGAATATACTGTCCAGAGTTAAGATACTAATTATTATTATTATGCATATTATATATATATATATTATTATTAGCGATTTGCTCGGACGAATGTCTTGATGAAGAACTGAATCATATTAAACGGTTGCTAAGTGAGAATGGTTATCCTGAAAAGTTTATTGATAAGAATATGAATTTGAAACCAAAGCAGCCGAAGTTACCTACAGTTCCAAAAAATGCCTTATTCTTTCAGATGCAGTTCCTTGGGGACAACACTAGAGAGATACTAACACAGCGCATTAGAAATGCGGTAAAACGGACATTCCCTGCTGCTGAATTACGTTGTATCTTTAAGACCACTCCTCTTCTGCGTTCGGGAGTAAAAGACAAACTGCCTAATTTCGCCTCATCCACGTGTATCTACCAATTTAACTGCTCCTGTGGAGCCAGTTACATAGGCCGCACAATTAGGCGTGTTTCTCGTCGAATTTCCGAACATCACCCTGTGTGGTTAAGCAAAGGATAAACAAAATCTATTCACATAGTGCTATTCTGTCTCATCTTGTGGATAAAGAACACAAGATTAATTGACGTTAACCATACTTTCAGGGTCATTTACTGAATACCAACCAACGAATCTCAATTTTGCCTTAAGAGTTCGACTACTAAATATTGCTGAGGCTGGCTGTGGGGATCCATATTAACAAGCCTAATTTATGCATCCAAAAGAAGTTAGTTCAGACATTATCATTACCTTGGCCATCTAGGTTTGAATGGTCCTGAATTTTTGTGGAAATTTCCTAATTTTAGTCGATATTCTATTCGCTATTATATCTTTAATATTATTATAATTTGAGCATCTTTAATGAAATGTAATTCCATTGTGATCTTACTTTACAAATCGATATTATTTAGACAAAAAACACCAATATTGTTATTAACTGCCAATCTTGAATATTTTGTGTGTATAAACATATATATAATCGTAAAGCCGGAAGAGGAATTTATCGAAAGGGGGATATTCTTTGCTTGATTATTTTGTGTTTTATAGATGTCTGAATGAATATTTTTGTTATATATTATTGTTTCCTTTAGTTCCTGAAGGAACATAAGGCTTCAGCCGCCCATTTCTCCATTGCGTTAGGTTCTCTGCCAACGTTTTCACCTGGCTCCACACGTCTGCCAACATGCTTTCATCTCCTCTTCTCATGACCTCCTCCTCGCCGCTTCCTGTTCGGCGGGTTCCAATGGAGAGACGGCCTGGTGTGTGATGTCACTTGATGGTTTCTTTCCTCAGAGTATGGCCTCCAATCCACCTACTTCCATTTTTTCCTGCATATTTGTTGCATAATTGGTTCCTGGTGAGTTGGTTCGCTCATTAGCAGAGATCCTACTTTGTTGCTGAACTTTTATGGCCAGCCATCTGATCTTGAGCGAAGACAGCTGTTGATGAAGGCCCTTCTCGACGCGGCGTGGCACCAAGTCTCTGATCTCCATACGTGTAGTAAGTAGCACCGACTGAAAATCATATTGGAGTTGAAAATTCGCAGCTTATTTTCATGTTGACTCTAATATAGTTTCCACTACTTGTTGTTACCCGTTTAAAAGAGTGTATGTATCTGGGAGGCAGACAAGTCCGCCAAAACACTTTGACTAATGGTGCAAAACAAAAAGAAACAAACGAAAAAGACATAATTTCATCTCTTGGCTTATTACATTATTTTATACTTTAAAAATGTACGAACAAACAGCGGCAATTTGAAATCACTCTTGGTTCATTCATTATTCAATACAAACAAAAATATTGAGAGTTATGTCCTGGAGATTAAATGAAAATAATTAATTATGCTTCTTTTATCACAAAATCAATGATATAAACCATAAAAGAAAGGCAGATAGGCGGGCGGGCAGGCAGGCAGACAAGTGCGCGCGCGAGTGTATGTATATATAAACTGAATGATGAAATAAAATAAAAGAAGGTTTTCCTTTAGGTAAAAAATAATATTAATAATAATGTTAATAATTCATCTGGAGTCCCATTAATCAATCAAAACAAACAAACGAGGAAATCATAATTTTCTAAGTGTTTTTAAAAGTCAAATCTTTACAACATCCATAATGTTCTAATAATTCCCCGTGGTGGTTGGTATTTCCTGGTTGTTTAACAAAAGCACTATTACCAATACGTCGTCGACAGGTATGACAACGTGTTGACGGTAGAATTGATAAATGCTCACGCGTAGACTTTATTCGATCTGTACATGATGCAATTAATTCAGCTTTCGAGGCATTTTGAAGAAATACTAGTTGAGTTAGGGTACTTTCTTGACTGATAAACATACTCTGTGGGAAAAGACGGGCGCCGCGAGCAGCGAGGTGGGGTGGTGGTTGGAGGGATTAAAAAGATGTAAAGCAAAAATATTTATATCAAGTTTTATATCAATAGAGTTATATTACATAATAAAAATTTTATAAATGTCTAGAATTTCCATTTTAGCAGAGCTCCTAACACACTCGTCTCTTCAGAGTCCTACACTTCACTAGAATACATAAAGGACATTTTATTCGGAAAGAACTGTACATCTTTCATCTTGGATGTGTGAATATATATTCATGAAAAATTCCTATCGAGGCATATTGAAAATCAAACTAAGTAATGCAGAGAAAAAGACTCTTTTCAACAAATTAATTATCAAGCTGTGTGAATACATAAAATAATAATAGTAGTGTGGTGAGAGCTGGCTGCGTACACAAGCCAAAATTGTAAACAACAATTTACGTCAATGTTACGGCCTAAATCAGGGTCATGAGGAAAGCGATAACAAAGCTTAACCTTGAGAAACTCACCGACCAATCCATAGCGGACTTAACGTGTGGAAATATGATTCTCTGATATATGGCTTAATTTTCTGAGAAACGGTTACAAAGCAATACAGAATAACCTTGGGCAAGGAAAATAACCAATCAGGAGACGTTTCTCCTCCGCCTACAATAATCCTCATAAAAGTCTAGGAATACCACTTAATATATATATGATAAATCATAGGAAGGATGGAACTTGGATAGGGTGTGCAATTATACGATTAGTAGAAAAATCGAATAAAATACAAACGTTATCTAATATTGTGTGGAATTTGGTCACATAGAATTTAACGTTGTAAAAAGAATTGATTTAGGATGACAAGTGGAACAAATGAAATAATACTGGGGCAGTTCAAAGTGAGAATAGTAATAGTAGTAACAATTGACGTAATAAAAGGAGAGTAGACAAACTGGATAAACAAACGAAGAAATCGGTAGAGCCAAAATATGATTAGGGATTACCATACTTTAGCATAGAGGGATATTAAGACCATGAAAGTTGGAGAGGTTGAACAAACCATTTTCTGTACACAGAGATTTGGCTTTTCTGTTTCAGTGGTCAAAGCGTCAGTAATAACAGATGAGTGTGTTTTAATACGCAGTGATTTCGGTAAACTACTTTTTGCTTTGTAGATGACTTAAAAGGCGAAGCCTGTAGAGATAGGGTGATCATCATTATCGACCAGATGTTCAGTGATCGCGCTTCTTACACAGCTTCACTTCCATTTCTTCGTAACTATGCAGGATAGTATCATCAAATTTCACACAATGTTACGTAACGTTTTTATTTTTATTCTATTTATCTACTTATTGTGTAATTTCACACTCCTTCCAAGTTCTATACATCCTAAGAATTGTTCTGTATATAACATTAAGTATTTTGCTACTTCACACTGAACATTTTAATTGTACCTCATACTATTATTTTATGTATTTACACCTATATGATTCAATTTCCTCACGGGATATAATTCCTTGACAAAAAAAAAACAAATATATACGACTGCACAGCTTGATAGTAAATTCACTGGAAAATAGTCTTTTCGCTGAATCACTTAGTTTGAATATATATCCAAATATCGCCTCTTTGTCTTTCTTATTATCACGTAGACGAAAGGAATCATATGAGAAGCTCAAAAGATAATAAAACTACCAAAAAATATTCACAATCTCAGTTACAAACAGTCATAAGCATTAGTTGGCAAACCACTAGAAACTGCGGAGTACTGAAAAACTGTATCGTTTTTAGTTTCGAACTCATATAGCACTCTGCCAAGGATCGAGGCCAGGATTGTCAAGTTTTGAGGTCGACCCCACTTAATAACCTTTTAGTCACTTACTTACTTACTTTACTTCGGCTATCTCCTACGGGAGGATGAACCGGCTTCGTGAACATCTCGAATGTTTGTAAGAGAGTTGATGAAGTTTCATGGGAATTGGGTACGAGTGATGTCCCCAGAATCGCTCGGCCTTTTGTTTGAGAGTGCAGCTCTAGCCTTTACACAACCAAGTGTGACCTACAAGGCAGTAGGAGTGGAGTAGGGAGTCCACTATCCATTGGAAGCCAGCCGGTGACCGGAGTCCGGTTCATACACCTTTTTGAATGGGGCCAGACATCCAGGGCATCCAATAAGCCCTTTGTCCATACGTCTGCCGGTGAGCTTCATACGCCAGCCGTTGGAGGTTCGTAATCAGGGTTTGGCCATCTCCCTTAGACTGTCATCCAATGGACAGTCAACCCGGTGAAGAGCGCCGGGCATCCGCTTTTGCCCTCTCACTTCGGTGAAATAAACACCTCCGCCACATGAAGGCAGTGAGTAGGACTTCCTCAGGAGAGGCTATGCAAGACGCACGGTCATATGGGAACATTTCGAGAGGTGTACGGAGGGGTGGCCAACCCGCAGCGCAAGACACCCACCCCCGACCATCCTGAGGCTTTGGAGGCCTTCCAGTCACTGACACACAATGACACACCACCAACGAACTCTAACTTTTAACAATATATAACCCCACCGCCAATATATATAGCCTCACACTCGAGTTGTATAGAACCTTACTGGTTCATCATCCCGGAGTCAGTCATTAATCAGAAGTAGATCAGTGTTAATATACTGCATTAGTTTTAAAGTTAGATCATAAACTAATAACCCCCACCCAACCCATCCCACTCCACCACCAACTAGTCATGGGTGCCATACTACACTGAGACTGCATGAACAAACGACAGGAATGAATACCATATATATATATATATATATATATATATATATATATATATATATATATATATAATATTATATTATATAATCTAATTGTATACCTTCAAATAATCTCCTACAGAGTTTAATGTGACTGTAGGCATTATGCGTATCACTTTGACAGGATCAATAAATGTACTGAATTGATGTAAGATTTCAAGGGCCTTGTTGAGCTTTGGAGTGAATTTAACAGAAGCTAAAAATATAAATTTAGAAAAATAATAAATAATAATAACAATAAGCTTTGATTACGAAGCAAATACATTTGATAAAATTACAAAAGTAGTACAATATTAGAGACAAATCAAAGCGTTGGTGATAGAATAGCGGTAGGACACTCGCTAACCACGTCTCACGTGGTTCAGGGTTCGATCCCCGACCAACGCACTTCTAAACCTCACTAAGCCGATAGTAAGGCCAATAAAAAGAAAAGGTTGGGCATGAGGCTAGCGATCGCATCCCGTAAAAATAGACACCACTGCTACTGAAACCTTAGAGCTCTAGCTTGAAGCTCTATGTTCCACTGAAAACGTACAGGAACAAAATAGACAAATCCAAATATTTGGTGGAGGTGAGTACCCCACATACACACAGGACCATATGAGGATATTACGAAATCAATAGACACCGTTTTGAATAAGGTTATGAAATCCACAGCGGACCTTATACATCTAATGAAGCCGTTTCTAGGTGAGTCTAAATAGTTTAATTTAATGCCGAAAACTAATCAACACAGTAGAATGTATAGTGTTGTTAAAATTCACAAGTTAGAATATCCTATTAGACCTATAGTTGATTTTAGAAATTCACCTACTTATGAATTGCCTAAATATTTAGCCATGGTATTAAATCCTCTTAAAAGCCACTCAAAATCTAGACTAACAAATTCTTATGAACTAAAACATAGATTAGATAATGAAGAAAAAAATGGTTAGTTGTGAAATTGTCAGTCTATATACACGCATACCAATAAATATGGTTATACAGATAGTCAGTAACGAACTCATTTCTGATCAAGAAATTGAGCTTAGAACAAAAGTGCTACTTGAGGACATAATGCTGGAAGTGCAGCTACGTTTGACTTCCACAGTATTTATATTCCAAGGGAAAACATACAAACAAACTGAGGGAGTTGACAATGGGTCCCAATATCCTCAATTGTGGCAGATATATTCATGGATAGGTTATAAACCTAGCGACTGAAACGTTCAGCCCCATCCTGAAAGTATGCTGGAGGTATCAAGACGACACATTCACCGTACACTTAGAACACAGGATAGAGTAACTCAGAGGTAGAAGCAGTTCGATTAAATTATGAATTGGAAAGTCAACAAGAGAGAAATTGGAATGTTAGATTGAAGCGTAAAAGGAAAGAAGATGGGAAGTTAAACACACTAGTGTTTACAGGAAATCCACACATTCATACGGATATTTGGATTTCGGATCATCCCACTCGATGTCAACAGAAAATAGGATTGGTGAAATGTTTGAGTAATACGGCACAAAAACTAAGTAGTACCAAGGAAAATCTAAGACAGGAAGTGAGGCATATAAGAGAAGCTTTGAAACTTAATAATTACCCTGATAAATTAATCAGGAAGTATGTAGGAAAGTGTAAAACTGAAACTAATAATAGCGGTAGTGATAGTGATGCTAATGATAATAACTATAATAATAATGACGACATGCATGTCAAACATGCACAGAACAATGACAACACCAACAACCGGCAATTTAAATAGTGATCAGTAGTACCTCCATACAAAGAAGGAACCTCAGAAACCTTGGAGACGGAGAATTCTTAACAATGCAGCCAGGAATAAAAGTGGCTGACATTCAAACCGCTCACACACTAAATTAGAAACAAGCGTTGTCGATAAAAGGATCAATCCTGTGGAGTTGATTAAACAAAACAATTTAGTTTATCTAATACCCTGCCTTCTTTGATTGTAAGGTCAAATACATAGGTCGATGTAGTGGAATGGGGTCAGTCAGTAAGTCAGTCAAACCAGAGGAGCACAAAAGCCTATCAGCAAGATCTAGATTAGTTGATCTGACGCCAAGATGAGAAATCTGGAGAATAGTTCAGCTATAGGACTACACCATACGTGATTGCACGCAACCATTGCAATAGGCAATCTAATACAACTAACATGATGCAGGGAAAGATTGATAAAAGAAGCTTTATTTATCGAATCAACTGAAAAGAATACATAGAAATAATAGAAATAGAAATAATTCAGCACCTATCCACCCAGACATCTGAAGAATTCTACTGCCAACCTAACGACAACGAAGGGGAAAGAATAAAAAACATTATAATTGATGTAATGATTATGAACAATACTAGATTGAGTTCAAAACTTTGTCATCCAGTGAATACGCATGCTGTCTCTCTACCATGTGATATATGGATGTAATAAACAAATTAATATGAAAGTAGTGTACTAATATTAGTTAGAATAGTCGACTATTCAAAGATCAGATAGAGAATGAAAGGAGACCAAGTGGTAGATCGATTATACTAACCTTGATTATGCCTCTTTAACATACATCTTCACAGATCACTGGTTCGAATCCACAGCCATGAATTATGTACTACATCAGCGATAATCTTCTAGTCCAAAACTATCTGAGTAAAAAAAACCTTCTTACTTTCTAATTCAGCAGGAATAGGGGGCGTACATGGAAAAAAGCTTAGCTTGGCGCAGTTACCGTAATGATTAAAGGGGGAGGGGCAATAATGTATTCTTCATTTATATGATTGTTGGACACTGTATACGATGATTGCAGTGAAATGATAAACCTGTTTGGCCACTGAGTTCTGCACACCAGGACGAGAGATAGACTATTCAGAAAAACAGCTCATCTTCAGCCACCTCGGTGAATACATGTACAGAAACTAGTCTAACTTAGCAACTGATACTCCTCATTAAAACCTGGAAATATTTCTAAGTCATGTCAGAGAGAGAGATAACCTGTTTTTAATGCGTTTTCGAGCGTTTTCTTGTCCACATACATCATTTTTTTGAAGCAAACATTCCTCATTTTTATGATTGATCAGCTGAAGGTCACTACTCGTGCGCACTCGCACCCTTGGACGCTATTGTTGAACTTTGCCATGAGTATCATCAACCCAACCCCCTCCCCCCCACACACACACAATAAGTGTAGCTCATAGTTTAACAGGTGAGCAATCTGATCTCCATGACTGATGACTAAGCGCGTAGCTAACTATCATGCAGGAAAGGCGGTAAATCAACAGGATGAAGGCAGAAGATATCTGGAAGAGGAGAACAACATAAAACGACGTGGAGGATTATAATCCTCCATACCAACTCAAAAAAAAAAGAAAATTACAACTTACATGGTAGAACAATGCCTAAAGATGTTGGTTCTGTCGGTTGAAGACATATTTGTATCAACAGGAAAAAGATATTTGAATTATTACAATAATCACAGAGGGGATAATCAGTGTTATGGCTACAATTGTTCAATGTTTCATGATTTGTAGTGGTAGTAGTATTGTTGTTGTTTAAATCTAATAACGATGAATTATCAAGGGAATTTAAAGAATTATGACGATTTAATGAAGAGGATGAATTTGAATGTTTATCACCAGAGTTGATTGCACCACCATGAAGAGAATAATGAGAATTGTTAGGATAATCTGTGTTAACAGGATCACCTACACCAACACCACCGACAACGGCAACGCCAGAGCCACCATCACGCTTTGTATCATTGTCATTATTGTTGCTATTATTATTATGATTATTATTTTTACAAATTGTTGAAGATAATTCACTTCTTTGATAAACATTTATACAATGATTTATTGCTCTGCTCCAATCGTCTAACAAATGAACCCATAATGAAAGTGCCTAATAATTACCAAAAAAAATTAATGAATTAAGTGGATGGCTGGATCGAAAATAGAAAAATAAAATAGGTTCTTAAACCATAAAGATTTTTTTATTTGAACCGATTGAAAATGCCCATTGAAATTTTTTTCTTCAAAGGAATGGTTACTGAATAAAGAGTATTGTTTTTTAAGTGTTGGTTTGTAGGGATCTGATTGGTTACAGGATTTTATCATGAGCTGACATTGGTTAGAGAACCATAGGAAAACCTGCTAAGGAGTACTGGACAGCTGTTTCATCCTAGCTTGGGACTCTCTCCAGCAGTACGCACCCACCGGGGGTTCGAAACCCAGGACCTTCTGGTTCAGCTCATGATGAAATATGGTTTTTGATAACCTACTCTTCATCAGGTTCTACTGTAACAACAGAAGACAAGGGCCAGGCAACAGATCGTTTTATTATGAAAATCAACACGTATTTATACATCTTTCAACTACATTATTATAGACAAGCGCAGTCATCTGATTGGTTGTTTAGGTAGACAAACGCAGGCTTCTGATTGGTTGTTTCGGGATTCCTTGACAAATAGAGTTCTCTCTGCGAATCATATTTTGCCACGTTAACTTTGCTGTGATTGGTTGTTGACTCAGGCTTGTTCATATTTTCTCACGGCCCATATTAGTGACCTAGACTTTAACGTAGATTAGTGCCAACCAATCGGCTAGCAGCCTGCTCTCACCACACTCGTCCCCCCGTCAAACACGTGCGACTGAAGTCGGCTTGATCTACTTGGTGCAGGCGTCATCGTTGGCTTGTCTCGCTGTATCCATTTCTGGAGCTCGCTGACGTTCACGCGCCTCTTATTGTTCGCCATCGCGACTGTGTCTGCGTAACCCCATCTCGAAGTGACCATATATGGTCCTTCCCACTTTGGAAACTGTTTGCCTGACCCTGTCGAACATTCGTCCATACTTCGGCTCACACTTTCATATGCTGCTTTCACCCGACCTCCCAGCAGCGTCCCAAGTAGCAGCTCCATCGCTGACAGATCTTGAACGCCACTCAACTGCGCAGAAGCCTTGAAGTCCTGCCCGAAGATCCATATGTCTCCATCGAAAACAGCAGGGCATAGGCTTTCCATTTGTCGGTAGGCAGCGACACCAAATGTAACAACAGAAGACAAGGGCCAGGCAACAGATCGTTTTATTATGAAAATCAACACGTATTTATACATCTTTCAACTACATTATTATAGACAAGCGCAGTCATCTGATTGGTTGTTTAGGTAGACAAACGCAGGCTTCTGATTGGTTGTTTCGGGATTCCTTGACAAATAGAGTTCTCTCTGCGAATCATATTTTGCCACGTTAACTTTGCTGTGATTGGTTGTTGACTCAGGCTTGTTCATATTTTCTCACGGCCCATATTAGTGACCTAGACCTTAACGTAGATTAGTGCCAACCAATCGGCTAGCAGCCTGCTCTCACCACACTACAGTTATATATACATACATAATAGTGAAATGGATGAATTAGTGTTATGAACAACATTAACCTTCGACGATAATTTTACACCTAAGATTAACGAGTTTATTTAACCTTTTCATAGTGTGTGCAGGGAACCTTCTCTTTAAAAATTTAACTTGTTTTAGTGGTATTCATTGTTATTTTCAACTTCAATATGTCCTTTTTAACTTGACCTAAGTAGTCCATTTTCTCACCTCTTAACTCTTTATTGCATGTATTAGCTCTAGAGTTACTACAATATATGATCTAAGCAACCATAGCTGATTTAATGAGCCATTCGTGGTGTCACCGTTTTAAGGTATGTACTTAGATATGCATGGCTTAATCTCTGAGACAAGCATATGACTACTGACAGAATCAACCAGTTTATTCACACAGTGATACACCCATTGACTGGGTATTGGTTTTCAGGAGAACCAAACACACCCATCTCTGCCTCTTGCGAGACGAGACCGGCATGCAGGATCATCCTGTGGCGCAGCCACTCGAGAGCCCTCTCCCTCGATGAACCATTCGTACCGTTAGTATTCATAGTAATGCATAGGTAAGCATTGTTACGCCGATCATTGATCGCGTCAATCAATTATGCACCGTATAGAAAAGCCCAATAGAACTCATCTCGCATTCAAGACTAGCCAAAAGTATTATTATACACAAAAGTAGCACGCATAGAGACGCTATAGTGACAATATGCCCCTATAAACGAAGCCAGCAGCCACGAAAATTCAGTGAAATCCCTGCCAACCAATTTAGCACGCAAATAGCTTCTATACTTTTGCCAAGACTATAGAAAACCATAGACAGTCATATAAGCGAGCCATGAGAACCATTTAACCCAAGCTCATATCGTCTATATAGCTTATGCTGTGTTTACTATGGGAATTTACGGTTATAAGCACGACAGCCTAGCTAGGCGGTATTAGGCCTAAACAAGCTCAAAACCACATGGTCACAGATACTAAAACACGTTTCCTATGATAAGTTCGTGGAGTGTAATAAGATTGTCCAAAATGTGTTGTGCGCTCAAATACATTACACGATTCAGACAAATTACGTCTTCCTTCTTATTGTTTTGTCTAAATTCATAAAAGGAAGTAACTGTTTTTTTTAATTTTTAAATGTTTTAAACATTTCCGCTGTTTAAATAACATCGAATCAATAATAATAGTAATATCAATGGATTACAGTCCGATAGCATCAACATAACAATACACACTGAATATCAGACAGACAAATTAGGAAAAATAATAAAAATATACATTCATGAATTTATAGTCTCCACTGAAGACCGATTAGGGTAGTAGAAGTGCCTAGTTGGACTTGCTTCTTCTATACACAGAGTACTGGTTGTTTATGAAGGATGGATCTCAATAACCTCTGCTGTTTTGATAGAGTCTTCGGTAACTGAATGCTATTAGCAACTTATTTGTTACCCGATAGACAGTGGACAAGGATTCTTCATTATTAGCTTTTTGGCTTGTATGCAGCAGAGATGGTCTAATATCAAATTGTTGATAGTTTTTACTACATCTTTATTTAGCCACACCACAATTGGTAGATGTTCTCGAGTGAACACAAAAAATAAAGTTCCTAGAGCAACGGTCAATAGAACTCACTCCATCCAAAGCGCAATTTAATTGGTAGATACAGTTAGAGGTGGCTGATCTAAGTACTTCATCTCTGAATTGAGGAATCACCACCACCACTTGGCCGAAACTGGCCATAAAGTCAGCCAACATTGAAGAACCCCTCTCTATCATCATCTATCGGGTAGCAAATAAATTGACAAAAACATCCAGATACCAAGCGAACACTCCAAACAGCAGAAGCTATCTCGATTCACCTGAAACAACCAGTGCTGTGTGTGTGTGTGTGTGTGCAGAAGAAGCAAGTCCAGCCAACCACTATTAACTGCTCTGGCTTTCTATGCAGCTTGTAAATTCATGAATTATTTTCAAGCGTTGGTTTGTAGGGATGCAACTTGACTGGTTACAGAATTTCCTCACGAACTGACATCGGTTAGAGAACCGTTGGAAAACAAGCTGGAAGTACTGGATAGCCAGCCGTTTCGTCAGTCTAGATTGAGACTTTTCAGCACTATGCACCCGCCGGGGTTCAAACCCAAGACCTTCCGGTTACAAAACGAGCTCGTATACCATTAAGCCACTGGGACCCGATCCAATGGCCAGTCCATGAATTCTAACTTCTACCAGCTCACGACAAAGCCCGACCCCTAACCAATGTCTTCGGCGAGTATTTGTCCGCACACCCGACCTGCTGGATCCTACTGGTCAAGATCTTCTGGTGGGTGCGTATTTCTGAAGAGTTCCAAACTGGGCTGACGAAACAGCTGTCCCGAAATTCAACGTTATCTAATGATTTTTTAAACGATGTCAGCTGTGATGAAATCCTCCAATCAAAAGTCTATACTCACTGTAGTACCCCATAAACAGCGTACTGCGTGCAGTGGCCTAGTGAATACGCCCTGTGGAGTTTGAAGCAGTATACGGGTAGAATAAATTTACAACCATAAAAATATATGGAGTACACACTATCTATTAAACAGAGTATATATATATATATATATATATATATATATATATATATATATATATCTTACCTGTTCATGTCTATTCAGGTTAGCCAATAATAATGCACGTTCTTCAAAAAACGCATCATACGGACATTTATCTAATAATCGAGCTGAAGAATACTGTGTACCAGGATGCATAAGGAAGCGTAATAAGCGTAGACGTAATCGTGCTACACTACCCAACTTAGGTTGTTCTTCATTAACTTTAAATGCAAATGATTTATTAGCCGGTTGTAATGATTGTGCTCTACGACTGAAAGAGAAAAAGAAATTCAAAAATAAATTGAATTGGAAATGACAAAACTTAGTACATAAGCGAATTCGCAAATTTTCAAGTGTTATTCAAGTGTTGGTTTGTGAGTTAAAGAACTAAATCATGAGCTGACCTCGAGGTGAGAGAATCATTGGAAAACCACCACCTGGGAGTACTACACAGGTAGCTGTTTCGGCCCAGTTTGACATTCTTCAGCAGCACACATCCACACCGACTGAGGTTCGAACCCACGACCACCTTGCAAGTGAAGCTCGTTTGTAGACGATTAAGGCGCTGGGACCCAATCCATTGACCAGCTCGTGATTTCCGACTTCTGCCGATTCACGCACGACACAGCATGACCACTACTAGCCAATGTCATCGCTGGCGAGTACCTGTGGTCACATCCGATCTGCTGTACCCCCCACTAGTCACTGTTCATGATGAAATCCTATAATCAATCAATCAAATTAAACCCCTAAAAACCAATAATTGAATATCAATAGGTAGGAATTTAGTTACTGGGTGGATCTATTGAGAAGCCGTGACCAGTAGTGGGGTACAGCAGATCAGGTGTGAGGACAAATACTCGCCGTCGATGACACAGACCAGTGCCAATCGCGGTATGATGTCATGGATTGTAAGTAATAAGAATACACGGGCTGGCCATTGGATCAGGTCCCAGTGGCTTAATAGTTTCAAATGTTGGTTTGTAAGGATTCGATTGTTTTCAAGTGAGGTCACGACTCAGTATCAGTTAGTGTAACTCCTAGAAAACCAAAACCGACTTGACACAGTTGTTTCGTCCTAGTTTGGGACATCAGCAACAGTACAGACACATAACTCCCATGGGGGATCAAATCCAACACATTCAGGTTACGAGTCGAGCCTATTTATTAGCGGGTGGTAATGATTGTGCTTTACGACTGGAAGAGGGAAAGAAATTTTAAAAAATCTGAATTGGAAATGATAAAACTTAGTACATAAGCTCATATTATTATTATTACTATTGTTCCCAGGGTTCCTATTGGAACATAGGGCTTCAACTGCACATCTTCACTTGCTCCTGTCTTCTACTGTACTTTTCACCTGCATCATCCATGTTAGTCGATACTCTTTCAACTCCTCTTCACACGATCTCCTCCATGTTACCCTTGCACTGACGTCCCACTAACCGCTTCCCTTTCGGGTTCCACTCGATCAATGGCCTGACGCGCACGCCATGTCACCCAGAAGCCTCCTAACTCAGAGAGTGTCCAATCAATCCATCTCCACTTTCTCCTGCATATTTGCTGTTGGTGGGCGATTGGTTCTTGTTCGGTTTGTTCCCATAGTTTCTTGTTGGTGATTCTTTCCGGTTCGGCCATCCGATTTATCTTCAGTATAGAGCCAGCGAAGACAGTTGTTGGTTGGCAAAGGTCTGCAACAGGCTGTTGGAAATATTCTTTGTGACCCGCCCGCCAACCTTCTGATCCGTATAGAAGAACTGACTGGCTTGACGTTGTTTGTATTGAAAATCCGACCGATGTTTGTTGTTGATGCTGAGTTGAGTGACTAAGATTTCCAGATTGGTTTCAGTTGGTTGATGAATGTGTTTCTCGCCTTCCCGATTCTCGCTCGATTTGACATCCTCGTCCGTTCCGACTTCCTGTGGTTGAGACAATGCTCCCTACATGATAAGTAAGTGAATGAAGTAACTTCTTTCAAATCTCTCCTGTTGATGGTGATTGGCGCTGGATGTTGCTGCTGTAAGGGTATTTAATACCATGGCTAAATATTCAGACAGTTCGTAAGTAGGTGAATTTCTAAAATCAACTATAGGTTTAAAAGAGTATCCTGACCTATGGACCATACATACTACTGGGTTGATTAGTTTTGAACACTAAATTAAACCATTTAGATTCACCTAGAAATAGTTTCATTTGGCATATAAGTTCCGTTGTGGATTTCTTCATCTTATTCATAACGGTATCTATTGATTTCCTAATCTCGTCATGTGGTGCTGTTTGTTTGTTCCCATAGTTTCCCTTGTTGGTGATTCTTTCCGGTCCGGCCACCTGATTGATCTTCAGTACAGAGCGAACACAGTCGTTGGTTGATAAATGTCTGCAACAGGCTGTTGGAAATATTCTTTGTGACCCGCACGACAAGTTTCTGATCCGTAATATTCAGGTTACGATTCCAGCACATAAACCCATCCACAGTGGCTCATGCATTCTAAATTTAGCCAATTTGCAATTTATAAGCATCATCACAACTTAATGTTTCACCTAGGTGAGTATTTATTCTCACAACCTGATTCGGCTGATACGATTCATCACAACCCTACATTTTTAAATGTAGAACGTACACACACACACACAAATTACGTAACAGTTTAAATTAAATTTAAGGGAAAAACATTGGCTGCTTACATTAATGCTATTGCATAACGCGTGTGTATATCGCATACATCCATATAAGCCGGATAATTTGGTATAGACGGCAACGCATCCAAATCATTCGTGTTGACGACAGTAGAATTATTATCCACTTTTGATAAACTATTCATTGTCGAAGTAGTTAAACGTCGTTGTTTAGACCGTTTTACACAAGGTAATGGCCATAGAGAGCTGGATATAATCTCTTTAAACGCGCTTGAACGCTTTCAAATAATACAAAATGACAATAATAATAAACAATAATAGGCATGCAAAAAGAATATCAATTACTAGAAAGCATAATGATATAGAACTGTGGTGTGTACAACTGATAAGATTTATCAGTAGTTTATAAAGAGACGCTCGTAGGCATAAAAAAAACCTCAGATAGCAGGGAGATGGATTTGCCGTCAATCAGAGAAAGCAAATGATACAACAGCGTTGCGGAGATACATACATGGAAGACGTGAAAGGAATAACAAAGAAACACAATATGAAGGAAGGCAAGAAGCCGCAGACACAACACGGAAGATCTGTACACAAGTGGTGTACACAGGTGTGATTCTGCTGGGACATCGTGCGTCCACCCTTCGCCTTCGTCCTTCATCGCCTTCCTCGACCCACAGACACTGTTAGCTGACATAGAGTCAGGCTGGAAAAGAGCTAGCGGAGGTCAAACCAGAACATGACTTCATCAGTCAATGAAATCTACAACAGTTAGTTTAAGCCAGTCACGTAGGAAGGTGTAGACCTCCTGACTGACTGGTTGGGGTCCTCGGTATGGTAAAAACCAATGGCGACTCAAAACAATTGGTTATATGACTCAAAATCATCGTTCTCAATGGCTGTTGCAGATTCATCCACTCCTTGTGACTTATGATTTCCAATGAAACTATATTGTTCTTTGTTATTACTGTTACTATGTCTCATCCCTCTGTTTACTGTACCTATTATGCATTTCTTCTACTTTCTTCTCTTGATTTGTGTTCTACAAGGAGGGAATGTGGAGACTTGAACTGGTGCACATCAGTGCAAAGCAGTTCTATGTCGAAAACAGACAGACAGCGTCCACCCAGGCAACAACAAAGAAGTCACCATTTCAGTTGATGTACGGGGCGAAACTACGACTACCGATACAAAACACAACATGGCTTCTCCATTAGGAGAGGAATATGATGAGGCTACGAACAAAGCGGAAAGACGCCATGAGATCAGAACAGTGGGGGAGAAAACGCGATGCAGAACCTTTGAGGTCGGCGACCAAGTAAAGTATAGAGAAAGAAAGTACGCGGTTAGATGTGGGCCAGGTTCACAGAAACTCCTTCGGAAGTGGGAATGGCCACACACTGTCACCGAGAGACATGGTCCTGTTTATACTATCAAAACAGGAGATCAGAAGAGACGGGTTCAACATCACAAAACTGCAGAAATGGATTCAGTGGGGTGAGGAAGTCGGGACCAAGATACAACAGGAAGGAGTAGAATAAAGAAGGTAGGAGCAGTTCCTTTCGAAACTGTTCGATAGGGGGACGAGTGTGGCGTGTGCTACTGATAAGGTATATCAGTAGTATATAAAGAGATGTTCATCGTCACAGAAACATCAAATAGAAGGGAGATAGATTTGACGTCAGTCAGAGAAAGCAAATGATACAACAGCGTTGCGAAGATATAAGGGAGACGTGAAAGGAACCACAAAGAAACACAATATGAAGGAAGGCTAGGAGTAGCAGGTGCAACACGGAAGACCTGTGCACAGATGGTGTGCACATGGATGAGATACCAAATTCCAAATAAAAACATCCCTTTACCAAGCTTCTCACGTTCCACCCTAACAGAATAATCACTAACCAACCATACAAATGATCTAGATATGATTACCAGTCAGTAAATTTGGGGGGGGGGAGAGGAAGCAAGGTTGAGTGTGAAACTAATCAGTCAATCAATCAGTAGCTGATTTCCCGAGCAGCTAGCTGGTGGAGCTCAGGTCACTTAACTTCGCTAGACAGTGTCCTCATAGGCTTGGAAAAATGGATATTATTAGCAGTATACGCTCTTACTCTGTAGTCAATCTTGAGGTTTACACAAAGACTTAACAGACAAAGATTAAGGAGTGAATTGTCAACACTAATATCAACCCAGGTTTCTATTATATATTTTATTACTATAGCGCTGGGACGGGATGGAAAAGGCGAAGGGATGGTCAGTCCGTGACGTGGCGTCGTGAGATGAAGGATTTTTGTGCTAGATTAGCATCGGTTGGTGCGTCACGGCTCCCTGGTTGGCGTCCGAGAGATAGCTCAAATCGATGGCTCGAAACGTTATCGGATATGGCCAAGAATCGCAGTCATCAGTGGCGAACGTGTTATTCTTTCTTTGCTTCTTGATGATGGTTAACGAATACCGTTTGAACTTGTTAGGCATGACTGTTTTCCTTCCAGATGAAGTTCTTTATCCGTTCTCTACTTGTATATTTTTCACTTTTGACCTATGTTGTTTTATTATGATTGTGTGGCGCATCTTTCTTGGTGCCATATTGTACCAAGTTTTTTCCGCGTTTAATTAAATAAATAAATAATTATATGGTTCAAACCCAACAGGCTACACAAAATTTCACTAACAGCTCACGTCTTCGCTCGATACTATAAAGTCACATATATATGGCTGGTCGGATTAGAATAGAAAGAAACAAAGACCTTTATAGCAGGCAGAGAAGCAGTCAACAGTCTAAATGGAGATGAAAAGGACACCAGCGGAAGAAACATACAAACAAGTGACATCACACACACACACACACATCAGGTCCTTGATAAGAAACCCTCGTATTATATTATACTGGTAACATGATGGAGAAGATTTGTAGCTCAGGTGAATGATTTTGATGTGGTTGTGTTCTCTGAGCTGGAGGATAGCAAAAGAGACCATGGAGCACAATTACTACTCAGCAACGACGACCACCAATCACAACAACAATCAAAAATGCAACACATAAGCTGGATGGAATGCATAAACCTATGCCTAACAACGAACTTTCAATTCAACGGCCAAATATATGAACAAGTCAAAGGAACACCCATGGGATCGCCTATAGAAGGTTTGATTTCAGAAGTAGTGGTGATGCAAAGGCTCGAAAACATAATTCTATCAGAGATCAAACTCAAGATTTGGATACACTATGTCGACAACACATTTGTAATAATCAAAAGAAACGAGTTAGATAAAACTAAGAACTTAATAAACAACGTCTTCAACGACATCAAATTCATAAGAGAAGGAGAATCTGAGAACCAAATCCCATTTTCGGACGTCTTAGTCAAGCGAACAACCACAGGGGAGTTAGAAACTCAAGTTTATAGAAAATCAACTCACACAGATCAAATATTGAATTACAACAGCAACAATCCAATAACACACAAAAGGAATTGCATACAAACACTATTCAAGAGGGCCAGCCAGGACTCAGTGCAGCCCTCCCACCTTAAGGAAAATTAAAGGGAGATATCTCATGGATGTCTTCTAAAAGAATAGATATCCATGGAACTTCATCAAGAGAGATATACCCGAGGAAAGCGCAAAGAAAATCGCCCTACCACATATAAAGGACATCTCAGAAATCACTGCAAGACACTTCAAACCTTTAGAAATGGAGGTCGTACACAAACCAATAAAATTACTTCACTCAGTTCTATGTCAACCAAAAGACTCAACAGCGAAAGATAAAACCATCATCTACGAAATAAATCGTAACAACTGCGAAAAACACTACACTGGCCAAAGTGGATGTCCCCTTCGTCTTCGTATCCACGAACATATGCTAGCCGTCAAACGATATGATATCCACTCTCTCATATCACTACATACAGACAACAACAGACATCAATTCGACTGGGACAAGCAACGTTCAAATACTAGACACAAGAAACAACAAGAATTTTTAGAAGCCTGTCTGGTATTCCAGTGAATCCTCAATCAATAGACACATAGACAAATTTTATCAACCGATAAGAAAGAAACCTCACACACAAAGGGTGAAAGTTAAAGTCAAAGAAACAATCACTTCCAATACAAGTAGTCTAGAAGATGTGAAAACACTGAAAAACAACCAATCATGTCCAAGGTCACCCACTTGAAGAGATGATTAATAAACTTGTGGAGAAATCTAAAAGCTCAGTTCAACAGATTGAAGTATGCGCTGAATGTGTCGCCTAGTAAGTAGGCGATGAAAGCTTCGCAAATTAACTATCCAGTTAGCTCAGAGAACACAACCACATCAAAATACTGGTAACATCTAAGCGTTCATTTAAGGAGTTCATATACTGAAATGAGGCTAAATAATTCGGTGCAGATGTATCAACAGGTAGCCGTAAACATAAATATATAAAGTGTAAACTAGTTATTGCATAGTTTTACAGCTTATTTCTTCACGAACTGACCTGTTGTTAGAGAAATACTGAAAACCATAAGGGAAATAGACAACTGTTTCTACACTAGTGACTAACTAACGTCCAATCAAAAATATCCAATACAGTCCCAAAGAAGATCAATCGCAAGCCAGAACAGCTGCTGCTCAGTGGTAACATCTCTGACAGCAGTCAGCACTGGTTGACGCAGATTCAAATCTCAGAAGGCATATGAGTTTCTTCAAAGATTGCAGATTCCGCCTGGCTTGCTGACTAGTGAGTGACAAGAAACACGAAAACTAGGGTAGGCTAGGGCCTTCTGTCGACTGCCTCTAACCATCGAATATCAACAATTCAAAGTGCACTGTCTGATGGTAAGCCAACTATAGTGGGATAATGGCCGCCACACTGCAAAGCTGACTGAACATCGAACAAAGAGCTAGACACATTACACTAACTAACTGTTTTGCCATAGATAAAGGCTCTTCAGTTATACGTATCAATCACTCCCTCCACTAATGCTCAAATCCACAGGATCTTCACGTCACGATTTAGCCACTGGATCGATAATAATAATAATAATTTGCTTTATTCCAAAACAGTACTTGTGATACCGAATGGAATCCTCAGCATTTCACGACAGTATTGCATCCAGTTAGTACCTAGACAATAAAATAAAATTCTACATAGATTAAGGGTAATCTCGGTTAGTTTTGACAACAACATATTAACATGTCGGTAGCAAAGCCAAAAGTGAACGGAATGTTTGAAGGTGTTAGAAAAGTAGATGCTAGCATATTTAAATGGCGTAAGCGGTAACAAAATGGCCGAGATATACAGAGTGTGAAAGAACGAAGTAGAATGTTTTAAGTAGAGTTTGTAAGGAAGAGAGAAACAAAACAGCACATAACAGAAAAAAGAGAGAAAAGGAGAAGAAAGAAGGAGAAACGTTGTACCTATAAATGATGTGACTTGGAAAGACGAGATCCAATTGTTCTACCGATTATTTAATAAGTTATAAGTTTCACGCCTAATGCTTTCTTTATCATGCAGAACACGAGCTAAGTAGGGTATGGTTGACTTTTTGTACTTGCTAGTGCGAGCATATAGTTTTCTATATAGGCTTCTGTTGGTCTGGCTTGATGAGATACAAGGGGAGAGTTGTGAATGAAGAGGGTGGTGGTGTGAGTTAGATGAAAAGGATTCAGCCCATTTTTCACATGAGTCCAAATGCCTGTCGACCAGAATATTCACAAGCCGGTTAAGGGACACGATGCTTACCCTGTTGACAACCTTTAGCATCCTGCATAATAAGATATAGTCCTTCTTCAGTAGCTCTGGAAAACTAAGAGGGAACAATAGTGAATAATAGTCAGGATGCAAGAGTTAACGAATCAAAAGAGTAAGGGTTGGGTTGGGTTATTCCAGAATGCCTCAACTTCTTGATTTAGAAGGTAAGACGGAATATTTTCTTAGAAATCATCAAGATATGAGACGACCAATAAGGAAAGATCAGCAGACAGAATGACACCAAGATAATTTAATTTCCAACTTGGTCTCTATTTCAGTGCCATGTATGTTGCACACCTCGTGAGTGCTAACTAGTTTGTTCAGGTCAGATTTATGCCTAAAGGTGAAATTGACTGTTTGACATTCGGAGGGGTTTAAGGTTAGACCGTTTTCCTTGGACCACTGGCTGATTTCTGATAAAATGCTATTTAGTTTGGAGCAGTCACTTTGACATTTGACAGGCAAAGCATACAGTCAGGTCGTCAGCATATTTGACAAAATTAATGTCATTTGAAAATGGTGGTAAGTCATGTAAAAAAGAAAGAAAGAAAGAAAAGAGAAATGGGGAGAGTAGTACAGCACCTTGGGGGAAACCAGCTTCAGTGAGCACAGGAGAGCAGTATTTACCTTTGTATACATACAGTGAACTGCATTCTGTTTGAGAAGTAAGAATGCAACCAGTTTGTGATCGATAATAGTTGTATGAAAGCTACTTCAAAATATCCTCTGAAATATGCAAAAATATGTGGAAACATACCTTACCAGGAGACATATATCCAGATTGTGTTGAATCCATAGAATTACATGACAGTTGTGATAAACTAGCCACTCTACAACAGCCTAAGACAATATTACTCGCAGGACTAGACTTATTTGAAGTATGTTCAATAATATTTTTTTTCGATCCACTGTGTTTCCCCACTGGTACATGTTCCGATTGTTGAACAATTGAAATAGGCTTCGATTTCTGTTGGAGTAATAATTTCTCAACATCATCATCATTACCAGCGGCATCACCATTATTGATTTTATTCTCTATACTATCATCATTGCTGTTCATGATACAACTGTTATCGCCTCCTTGTTCACTTGATTCAAGCCTTTCATGACTATCGTCATCTCTGCTACTATCAAGAACACCACCACCACTGTCATTGTTGCCAATGTTTTCGTCTTCTACGACATCATCCTCAACATCGTCATCTTCATCGCCCACTTCCTCCTCCTCCGCCTCCTCATCATCGTCGTCGTCTTCGTCATCATCGCCAATGTGTCGGTTATTCCAATGTACAAATATAATCAATTCTAGATAGGGAATAATCAAATGCGGTGCATATTGTTCCATATATTGTAAGATTTGATTGCGATAATTTGAACAGAAGGCTATAAATTCATCTAAGCAATAAAAACGGAAACAAAACAAAAAAATATATGTGTAAAACTTGGGCACTGTAATAATAATAATAATAATTTTTCCTTCACATTCCCAGTGGAACATAGGACTTCAAGCTAGTGGCTTGAAGTTTCTGTAGCAATGGTGTTGATTTCTACGGGATGGGGTTGCTAGCCTCATGTGCCCACCCTTTCCTCTTTACCAGCATTATTTCTGGCTTAGCGAGGTAAAGGACTGCGTCGGTGGCCGGGGATCAAACCCCGGTGATGAAACTTGTAGGAAGAGTTTTTACTTAATCATCATCGAGCCCCGGACTATGTGCATGGTCGGTGAGCGTCTTAACCGCTGTGCCATCGACGCACAGTAAGAAAAGTTGCTTCGACAAAAACACCTTATGTAAAGAGAAGCATATCACCACCTACCATAACTACTCTCATCAAGCAATGAAACTAGACAAGGTTTGCCAATCTTACCATTTTAACTTAACTTTGCCACCGAAGACAATTCTAGAGGTTGTCGTAGTGATGCAGTATATCTGCCAATTGATGAAAGACTGACCTTGAGTGTGTAGGGGAAATACTCTCATGGTATAATGAAACATACGGTACACGAACCGCACTCAGTTAGCAATCAGAGTCAGTAAACACGATATATGCGCTTTATACCGTTCAAGTGCACACATCTACACATGTGAATCATTAGACGTGATCGAAAAATCTTGCATATCTACGGTACCCACATTTATGTTGGTAGACACACGACATTTTCAAATGCAAACCAAAACCCAGAGTGATATACGCCTACCTCGGACGTTTCTGGTGCCTTCAGAATTTTAATCTGCCACATGCTTGCATGGACTTATGCAAGATATAGTCCACCCTGGTGATCTAGCGGGAATGGCAATTTTCATCAATCCTTTCCACCGATGATGCACAGAAATTTAATTTGTCTCTCCAATTTTAGAGAGAAAGCCAAAGCACCATATGCCTATTTGGGTCATCTCTAACCATGTCAGGAAGTTAAATTTACACCTTCTCAGTGCTTGCAGTCGTACTCCGTGCTTCTTAAACATCGCCTACCACAGTTGAGAATATGCGCCAACACCGTGACAGTAGATTTATCTGATTTAACTATCAAATAGTTGCTGTGGATGACCTTGAAGACCAATTTTCCTTAAGAGCGAATTTATCACAAAGTGCTTTCCCGCCTACCACACCATGGCAGCAAATGTTGTTCGAGTAGCTCCGTTTAACTAGAGTGGATCGTTGACTGAGGGTTTGAAACAAAGATAACAAAACTTTCCACGATTGTGTCATGGAAAACAGACTGCATAATACTGTCCTATGTTTTATAGTCCTACAAAAAGTGTATATAAGGCTCGAGAAAATCAATTCGGTTTCACACCTCAGTGAGAGTACACTTCTCGAAGCTCCGCTCTTTGACAGCTTCTAAAACACTGGCATACTTCGTCAAAACAAGAAAAAGTCTAAATCTTGTTCTAGCGTTGATGGAAACGACAGGCGTACTTATCGTAATCCGATACTCGCCATATTTCTTGATGTGAAGTTAATCTACCTCCTCAACTGAGAGGTACTGCGGCAATGTCTGACTGCGAAAGAAGCGTGAAAAGTATCTAAGGTTACAGAATATTCACATCAGATCATGGGAAAATTAAAAAGACGGTGACAGCGAAGAAAATTTGCTTGTTGACGAAGTCACCGACTAGGTTGTACATTCGTGAATATGTAGCAAAGTGATGCAAAAGTTCAGAAGCTATGTATTCATAGGTAAATAATGTCCAACCTATGATTTCACCATGGTCATCATAAACAGAAAATTGCATCAATAATTATAATACGATTATGTATTTAATCCCAACTTCATGTTGAATTTTATTTTTACGTTATAGTTCGTATTCGTAATCTTATTCGTCAACATTTAACCCTCAACCACACAAAAGTTCTGGAACATTTTCACCACTTTTCATATATTCACGAAAGAAAAATTTCTTTTAATTTGTACGCAATCTCTGCCTAAGTAGACGTGATATCCAGCTGGCTGTCGACCAAGCGGCGTGTATACTGCTCAGTGGTAGTAAGTAATTCCATATTAGTTTGTTTATTAGATATATGACACAGTGATGAAACTTTATTATTTACTGGATGACATTTCAGACAAAATTTCTTTATTGTTGATAATCATTTCATCAATTACAGTTACACGACTTCGAAACTTGAGTTTTATAGTTTTCTTTGTCCTCGTCTATTTGTCGTCGTTGGGGTAGTAGAATTTTCCAGATATCTGGGTGGACAGGTGTTGAATCATTCCTATTACACGTGTTGGTTTTCAGTTGATTGGGTGAACAAAGCTTCTGTTATCAATCTCTCTATCCACCCTCTCACATTAGATTTTAAAACTGTCATCTTATCCCATACAGCCTATTACTATAGCTGAACTGTTCGCCAAACTTCTTGTCTTAATATTAGGGTCAACTTATCTAGAGTTTGCTGCTAGGGCTTTGTGCTACACTAGGCTGACTGACCGAATGCCCCTGTTCTACTAATCTGACCGATGTATATTTGACCTGACAATCAGTGTAGACAGGGTATTTTTTTCCTTCAAGTTCCCAGTGGAACGTAGGACTTCAAGCTAGTGGCTTGAAGTTTCTGTAGCAGTGGTGTTGATTTTCAAGGGATGAGGTTGCTAGCCTCATGTGCCCAACCTTTCCTTTTTACCAGCATTATTTCTGGCTTAGCGAGGTAAAGGACTGCGTCGGTGGCTGGGGATCGAGCCCCAGACTATGTGCATGGTCGGCGAGCGTCCTAACCGCTATGCTACCGACGCACCCTGACAGGGTACTAGATAAACTAAATTATTTTGCTTAATTGGCTCCACATGAATGATCCTTCAACAAACATCGCTGGTTTCAAAGCATTCAAACCCACAAACTCAATTATTAACAAGCTTTGTCGGTTAGGGGATATTAAGGAACCGTTACAACAATTTAGTTTATCTAATACCCTGCCGGAATGATTGTCAGGTCAAATAAATCGAAGCAGTCAGACTGGCTGAGTCGAAAAACCTAGGAAAAGCTGGATTAGTTCAGTCAAGTAATCAAAGAAATATGGAGGGTAGTTCAGCTGTACCACTTACTACATGCAATTACACACAATCATGCAGTATACGACAGGATAAGATGACACTTAAAATCTAATGCAACTAACATGGTGGAGGAAGAGATTGATAACAGAAGCTTTGTTTATCAAACCAACTGCAATAGGAATGATTGAACACCTGTCCACCCAGATATCTGGAAAATTCTACTACCCAACGACGACAAATAGACGAGGACAAAGAAAACTATAAAACTCAAGTTTCGAAGTCGTGTGATTATAATTGACGATATGATTGTGAACAATAAATAAATTTTGTTCGAAAGGTCGTCCGGTAAATGATACTTTTTCACTGTGTGATACATCTAATAAACAAACCAATATCGAATTGCTCGTTATCAAAAAGTCATCTGATATATACTTGTGAAAGACACTCCCACCACACCACAGTCTCAGATCAGACATGAAATATTACAGGAAAGCACATCAAAAGAAAAAAACACTTACCTACCTCGTTTAACTGCATCAATTGGTGGTGATGCTGTATTACTACCTGAAAACTGACTTTGATATTTCACTGTTAATTTCGCCTGCCAGTTGGATAAAATACGCATCCAACTAGTTGGATAATGCAGCATATGCCATTTTGTATAATCAATAAGCAGGTCAATGTGACTAGCGTTCAAGTATTGTAGAAAATAATGAATTATACGTTTTGGATGACCAAGTTGTTTAATTAATCCAGATTTATGCAGTTTATCATCGAAAGTAATCATATTTTGTGGTTGTGATGATGCGTCGTTGGTAGTTGTTGTTGTTGTCACCATCAGTCCACCACCAACACCACCACGATGATGTTTCATACATGCAGCACTGAATTGTTGTAGTATAGACAGTGCTTCACGATGTAATCCACGCGACTGATACAACATTACTAATTCCTTCAGAGAAAGAGTTAGAAAAAAAGGTGGAAAAAAGCCGAGTGTTCAATATGTATTTGAAGAAATGCAACTATGAGAATAATTTAGAACAACACATATTTAAGCGAACAATATTGTTTTCAGGAAGGTCCTGGGTTCGAACCCCGGTAGGTGTGTACTGCAGAAGGGTCCCAGACTAGGACGAAACAGATATCCAGTAGTACTCCCAGGTTTTCCAAAGGTTCTCTAACTTATGTCAGCTCATGACGAAATCCTGTAACCAATCAACCAAATCCCTACAAACCAACACTTGAATATTGTTTTCAATTAGATCTCATCAGGCTTAACTCTAATATACCTACTTAAGTTTACAAATAAAAATTCAAATATAAACCAGTCATGGTGTTTTGTCTATAGGATAATAATATGGTGACTATAAATTGTGCAATTAGTCATAATAGTAACAATAATAATAATAATAGTAATAATAATAATGCAAACGAAGGATAAGCTAGATAGTTTTGCCACATTTATGTGCATTTATCAAGTCAACTCTGCTCCTGCGAGGGCATTTATGTTGGGCACACTACTAACTAGACAGCTTAGCCAACGTGTCAATATTGAACATCTCCCATCGTGGTGGCTTGGCAAACGACAGACAAAAACAATCCGTAGCTCAATTTTGTCATATTTAATTGATAGTGCTGGTCATGTAGTGGAGAAAACGAGAGCCTTCAAAGTAACTCATCGTATCCCACCGAATCTTTCCAATAGACTTCGTATTCGTCTACTGCACACACACACACACAGCTGAGGCAGGCGATAGGCATTCGAACTATTAAACCTAAACTATGCCTTCATTCAAAAGAAGTTTGTACAGCCACTATCCCTCCCTCCCTTGGCCTATTAAGACATAACCAACTAATGACTTCTTCACCACTCCTTGTTCATATTTTCAACCCCTCGCTTATCATCCCTTAATCTTATCACATCTTCATTATAAACGTGTTTCATTTACTTCCCTTACAATCAGTCTAGCATTACTTAATCGGTTCATTTGTTTTTACTAGCCTTTATCGACTACTTCCAGCTGAACATTTGTTTGTTTAATCATGGTGTTTTTTTTTCATTATTCGTGTTATCACAGATTGCCTCACTTTTTCATCCTTATTATTGATAAGACCATTATTATTATTACTTTTATTATCATTACTACTATTATGACTAATTGCACAATTTATATTCACCATCGTATTATCCCATAGACAAAACACCATGATTGGTATATATATGAATTTATATTTGTAAAGTTATGTAGTCATATTAGAGTTAAGCCTGATGAGATCTAATTGAAAGCACAATACTGTTCGCTTAAATGTGTGTTGTTCTAAATTGTACTATGGGAATATTTAATATATTAAGAGAATAATGGAGACAGAAATGTAGAAAAAAATGACAGAGAACAGAAGTTTAACGAAGATATCGACGATTCAAAGGTATCATTCTCCTTATTTTATTTAAAATTGTCTAAAACACAAAACCTGTTACAATATGGCACCAAAAAGACGCGATACATTTGTCGAGCTTGGTGATTGCGATTCTTGGTCATATCTGATAGCGCTTCAAGCTACCGATTCTAGCTGTCTCTCAGACTCCGACCAGTAGGGTATTGAGGCATCAGCCGATGTTAACCTAACACACAAATATCTTTCATCCCACGACGCCACACGGGCTGACCATCTCCCGTTTTTTCTATCCCGTCCAAGAGGTAGCAAACACAGACCTGTGTGCAAACCTCTGGGATGACAGTCGTAGCACATTTCCAAGCCTTCAGGGCCGGTGTTTCCAGATGACGACACTCACTGAATAGTGATCTTCACTCTGTTTAAACACACACGATAATGCCACCGAACGCAAGCAATCCTACGGAGACGACGATGATCGAATACGCAGAGAAGCTGCACATCTTCAGCTCGGAGAGGTCAGGTTTCGCAGGCGGAGAGCAAGGCAGCACGCACTGAAGCATTATAAGACCCGACTTTTGATAGCCAAGTTAACGTCGCGACGGCGCCAGAGGTGGTTTAAGCTGACTTATACCATCCTATCTTTCATGATACGGTTGGGAAACTAGTCCGCCACACCTTTGCCAGCACTCACACAACTACCCAGATGATACACTAACTTGTCGATAACTTCAAGCGGTCCACCTGCAAGTAAGAGTGAGTGCAGGTACAGGGTCCTGCCAATCTTGTAACATACCATACTTACAGACACTTATCGCCAACTGAATAAATGCGATTTGGGCAGCCTGCATGCTATCACACAGTAAGACGATAACGTCTGCATGCTCGAAGTTGAAAAGTCTCTATTGAGGGAGCAGATCTACACCACCTTAACGCACATCCTTCAGAGCTGACTCCAGAATGTCATCGATGGCAAAGTTAAAGAGAAATGTAGAGATTGGGCAACACTGTCTAACCCCACTGTTGGTTCGAGAATAGTGATGATAGTTGGTCGTATGCCCCCACTCTACCTGGGAAGGTTGAGACACTTCTCAGGTACACCCCTCGCTAACATACAGTTCCAGAGTACAGTTTTATCCAACGAATCGAAGGCAGCTCTAATATCAAGAAACACAACGATTGTTGACCTGCAATACATGCGGCAGTGTTCCAACAACTGACAAAGGGTGAACACACGATCAATGCACCCGCGGCCTGAATCAAACCCAGTCTGAGAAGTAAGATAGCAGCCAATAAGTTTAGACGCAATTTGTAGTAAACTTATACACCCCCTGTGGTTGTCACCTGTGTTATGTCAACTCTTCTTAAAGATGGGGACGATGATGGCCACATCCTACAATGATGGTACATCTTCAATTCCTCATACTTTCCTGAGGAAACCTGTCAAAGCTATGACAAGAAATCTTGCCACATTAGCTTTAAAAAGAGCCGACGCATAATTAGGTTGGAAAAGAGTTAGGAGTGATGAAATCAATTCATGAAGACTATAACTTTTTGTTTGAACCATGTAGAGAGGTGTAACTGCCTGACTGGGATCTTAACAACACTTTAAATGAGTGTCTGGAAATTGACTGTTGACTATATGGCTTCAAATCCTGCATATAATCCTTGTGCTCTTTCACATCAATTAAAAATTCTCATTATTCTCTATGCAATTATTCTTGTCCCCGTTCATTTGCATTTTACCATAGTTTGTTTGCGTCTCTCTCTACTCTACTTTGTATTGAATTGTGCTAACTTGGAATGCTACACTTTTGTGGAAGAATAAAATTTTGCATTGGAGGAGTATAAATAGCAGTTTAGACAGCTTAGTGGTGTTGTGGCGAGTGCTACCGTGTTAAGACTTATCAATAGTATATAAAGAGACGTTTATCAGCATAAAAAAAACATCAAATATCAGGGAGGCAGATTTGACGTTAGTCAGCGAAGGCGAACGATACAACAGCGTTGTGAAGACACATGGAAGACGTTCGTTGGTTCGTTGCCTACCAGAGTCCCTCGTTGTTTATGCCTCTTAACCATCCGATCTTCAGTATGGAGGCAAAGAAGACAGCTGTTGATAAAAAAGTCTGCAACCCTGGTAGAAATGCTTTCAGTGACACGTCAAGTCTCTGACCCATATAGAAGAATTGACTTAATATGGGTGATGAAAATTTGATTCTTCCAAACTGATTTCAGGGTGATGAAGGTATTTTTCGCCTTTCAATCAATCTTGTCTTCGAGATCCTCATCAGTACCGCCTGTAGTTAAGAACGATGCTGCTCAGAGAAGTGACCTCTTTCAAATTTCTGTCGTTGAAGTTTCAGTAGGAATGGGATTTTTGTTTCTACAGGTTAAGGCCACTAACCCCATGCCCAACCACCCTCTTTTCCAGACTTAGGAATGGACAATGAAGTTCACCAACCGTGCCATAATTAGTGATATTGTAACACAGAAGACAATATTACCTGCATGGACAGAATGAGATTCAGGCTTACCTCTAGTGCAAACACCATGTGTTGCAAGCAAACTTAGACACATGGATCCACCCGTTTAATAACGGCTGATCCCAAAGATTTAATTTCGACTGAGTCATAAATTTTGTTTGATATCAGGTGGTTGGACGTAATTAGCAGGATGCCACGGACCTAGATTGCATGCTTTCTGATGCTAGTCAGCTAGCGATATCTGTAAACTTAAAGGGACTGATGTCCCTCTGATGTTGAGGACGAGTCAACTGAATGATTAGTAACTTGCTTCCTTAATTAATTTAGAACCTAAAGTTATGATTATTGATCTTAAAGACAAAAGAAATCGCTACATTTAATCGAAGTCTATATGATTTGTCGTACAAAATTCGATTTTTTAGCAACAGTTCAGTCAATTTATTGTTAAACAACCTTTTTCAATGGGTTCAATAAAACAGTAATAATAATAGATAGAGTGTGCCGAGTACTACCGATAAGATTTATCAATAGAATATGAACAGAGACGTTTATCAGCATAGAAAACATCAAATAGCAGGGAGATAGATTTCACGTCAGTCAGTGAAGGCACAGCGTGGTGGAGACACATGGAAGACGTGAAAGGAACCACAAAGAAACACACAATATGAGTGAAGCCCAGAAGTAGCAGGCACAACACGGAAGATCTGTGCACAAATGGTACGTTGAAGATAAGGGGTATACATAATTTGGCTATAGTACGTCGGGACGGGACTCCATGTGAACATCGACAAGACGGAGGTTATGAAAATAACTGACCACTACCAACAACGACAACAGCAGAAACATCCAGCACCAATCACCATCAATGGGAGGGATTTGAAACAGCTCACTTCATTCACTTACTTATCATCTAGGGAGCATTGTCTCAACTACAGGCAGTTGGAACGGACGAGGATGTCAAATCGAGCGAGAATCGGAAAGGCGAGAAACACATTCATCAACCAACTGAAACCAATCTGGAAATCTTAGTCACTCAACTCAGCATCAACAACAAACATCGGTCGGATTTTCAATACAAACAACGTCAAGCCAGTCAGTTCTTCTATACGGATCAGAAGGTTGGCGGGGGGGTCACAAAGAATATTTCCAACAGCCTGTTGCAGGCCTTTACCAACCAACAACTGTCTTCGCTGGCTCTATACTGAAGATCAGATGGCCGAACCGGAAAGAATCACCAACAAGAAACTATGGGAACAAACCGAACAAGAACCAATCGCCCACCAACAGCAAATATGCAGGAGAAAGTGGAGATGGATTGATTGGACACTCGCTGAGGAGGCCACCGCTGGGTGACAACGCGCGCGCGTCAGGTCAGTGCTTGAGTGGGACGTCAGTGCAAGGGTGACATGAAGGAGATCGTGGGAAGAGGAGGAGTTGAAACAGTATGGACTAACTAACATGGATGCAGGTAAAAAGTACAGCAGTACAGAAGACAGAAGTGGCGAGTGGAGACGTGCAGTTGAAGCCCTATGTTCCACTAGGAACCCAAGGGAACAATAATAATAATAGTGCGTCGGTGGCACAGTGGTTAGGACTCTCGCCGACTATGCACATGGTCCGGAGTTCGATCCCCTGCCGACGCACACCTGATATCAATTGGTCGGCCTGCGAAATTTGGCCTACCGATATCACATGCTGAAAATTCCATACCTGTACCAAAAATACGGTGTGGAAACAAGCTGTAATCAAAAACATATATATATATATATATATATATATATATATATATATATATATATATATACCAATTTCTTAAACATTCCTTTACTCAGGTGCCTTCGTCTTCTACCGCTTCAGTGTGATTTCAAATCAGGGAGATTGACTCCATCTACTCAGCAGTAACCAACAAACCTAAGCATAGGTCGCGAAAGACAGCTAGCTACCTACCTGTCGAATAATTCGTCCCAACTTGGTGAAAATAACATAGAACGATAACAACCCACAACAACAACAAAGCTTACTTGATAACGTTTATGCTCCAATAGACTTTTCACAGATTCTTCAAGAATACATACATTTTCTTGACGTAGTAACGGGGCAACACGAGCTGTATTCGTCGACAGATAACACTTTAACAGACTTGTATCAATTAATTCCAGCAATTCTATACATGGTAGAATCAATTTAGTAACATCTTTCATAGAATAACAGAGAAATTCAATTATATTATTATTATACTCCTTCGCATGGTGTTGTTGTTGACCACTTCTGCTACATAATGATAACTGGGACGAGTCTTCTCCTTCGCCTCCTGCTTCTCTTATATTGTTCAATAGTTTTGATTGTTTCAAGGATGTTTTGGTCAATTGTTGTTTTAATAGACGTCGCCATGTCAACAGATAGGTGATGAGTGGTTCAAAGGCATCAGTCATTTGAGAAGAATTCATAATCTGTTATTATTTTTTCGGAAAACAAAATATTTTTGATAGATAAAAAAAAGGTATAAAATAAAAGTTAAGCATTCTTTTTTTAGATATAACAATATCTTTTAATCTTCAAAATTACAATAAATAATCTCTCTCTGTCTCTCCCTATCATGAAACACCCCCTCTAACTGTTAGTTTAAGCCAGTCACATAGGAAGGTGTAGACTTCCTCATTGGTTGAGGTCTTCGGGAGGCAATTGGTGATATGGCTTAAAATGATCGTTCTCAATGGCTGCCTTGCGTGGATGCATTCACTCCTTGTGACTTATGATTTCCAATGAAACTATATTGTTCTTCGTTATCGCTATTCCTTTTGTCTCACACCTGTCTCTGTTTACTGTCTCTATTATGCATTTCTTGTAGTTTCTTCTCTTGCTTTATGTGCTACATGGAGGGGGAGTGTGTCGACTTGAACTGTTGCACATCGGGCAAAGTTCTATGTCGAAAACAGATAGATAGATAGACAGACAGACTTTCATGAACAGCTGCTTTCCTTACTCGGTGCTGAAGATTAAATAACCAGAATTAACGGGTGGAGGCAACCAGGAACTTTGACAGGCAGCAAAGCAGTCAACATCCTATACTGTACGCCTACTATGCAAAAGAAAACATGGAGACGAAGTTAAAGTGTCATAGCTAATGTCAAAGTCTTCCAAAAGTTGACCTTCAAGTACCGTTCAGATTATAAGGAATGCTATGAAAGGTCATTTCATATCAAATCATGACTGTCTTTTTGAACTTGGAGAGGGGGAAACTGTATTCTGCCTGTTTACTAGGTACTTTTCCTGTGAAGCTATATTGTTAGTTAGGGTAGGATCTAGGATTACAGTTAGGATCAGGAGTTAGGAATATGGTTAGAGTTAGGAGTAGGTTAACCAACAGTGTATGCAACATGAATGGATCCCAAAGTACCATGACCTACAGTCACCTGGATGTATATATATATATATATATATATATCAGGCATGGTACGATTTCTCTATAGATCATCTGTATAGTGACTGGGAGTCATTCTTACAGCATATAAGCTATAATTATACAGGGTTATACCATGTTTAGTGTATTTTTTCAACGATAATGCAACTTTTCTGTATCTGAATTCTGATTGGCTGCTCTAGGTCACTGTAGTTTTGGCTATGATAGTTTAGCTTTAACGAGTTGATCAAGGATTGATATCAGTTAGAGAACCAATGGAAAACCAGCGATGGAGTACTCGACAGCTGCTGTTTCATCCTAGTGCTTGGGAATCATCGGTAGTACGCACACACTGGGTTCGAACACAGGAGCTTCCGGTTACAAGGCAAGCTGGCTGGTATACCATTCAGCCACTGGGACCCAATTCACTGGCCAGTGCATGAATTCTAACTTCCACCGATTCGTGATTTAGCGCGACTGGCACCAACCATTGTCGTAGGTGGGATATCCATCCGCACACGTGACATCTGGATGAACCTCACTGGTCACGACTTCTCAATAGAACTCCAGGAAACTCTCTCCTGTAGAAAGTCACTAGCGAGCACCAGATTAGTTTTCTATAATATGGTTTCTAAGGGTTAGTTTTGTTTTTACGAGCTGATCACCGATTGATATCAGTGGGTGCATACTGCCGATGATTCGTAAACAAACTAGAATGAAACAGCTGTCCAGTACTCACTGTGACTGGTTTTCAATGGTTCTCTAACTGATATCAATCCGTAATCAACACGTAAAAACAAAACTAACTCTTACAAACCAAACTATAGAATATATGATAGTTTAATTTTGCCGGAAATACAAATAGATTGAAACTACACACACACACACACACATACACACACTGAGGAAAGCTCCGAGTGATATAATGAATGCACACCAGGTCTTTTACCAGGACCTGGATGGGTGATATAGAAAACATCATGTAACAGTCGTGTAGCCGGTTAACATTGAGTGGAGAGAACAGAGTACAGCACAGATGTGCTGCAAAAGCCCTATATCCCATCTGGAATATAAGGAATGAAGAAGAATCGTATAAAAGAAAAACAGTTATATGTCAAAATGATCTAATATTACTACTGTGGTGAGAGCTGGCTACTTGCCGAAATTGGTAGATAGTCATTTACGTCAATGTTTACGTCCCCAATATTGGTCGTGAGAAAAATAACAAGAACAAAGACTGATTCAACAACCAACTACAGCAAACTTTGCGTAGGCGGATACGATTAGCAGATAGATGATCTGGCATTCAAGAAATAGCCACAAACAGATGAATGATTAACCGTCAACGAGAAACAACCACTGAGAAGAGTGTGTTTGTCTGCTAACAATAATCTATAATAATGTACATGAAAATCTATAAATATATGTTGATTTCCTAAATAAACAATCTGTTGCCTTGCCTTTGTCTTATGTTGTTACATTTGGTGTCGCTGCCTACCAACAAATGGAAAGCCTATGCCCTGCAGTTTTTGACGGAGACATTTAGATCTTCGGTCAGGACTTCGAGGCTTCTGCGCAGTTGAGTGGCGTTCAGTATCTGTCAGCGATGAGGCTGTTACTTGAGACACTGCTGAGAGGTCGGGAGAAAGCAGCATATGAAAGTGTGAGGCAAAATACGACGAATGTTCGACAGAGTCAGGCAATCAGTTCCAAAGTAGGAAGGACCACATATGGTCACGTTGAGATGGGGTTACGCAGACAGAATCGAGATGGTAAACAAAGAGAAACAGGTGAACATCGGCAAGCGCTGAGATTCCAGGCAGCCAGACAAACAAACAAAGCCCCTAGAACCAAGAAGACCGAACCAAATTCAGTTGCAAGTCTTCGACTGGGGGACGAGGGTGGTGAGATTGTCTGCTAGCCAAGTTGGTAGACAGTAATTTACGTCAATGTTTACATCCCCAATATTGGTCGTGAGAAAAATGAGAAAAAAGGCTTTGCGTAGGCGAATACAGTTAGCATATAGATGATCTGACATTCAAGAAACAGCCACAAACAGATGAAAGATTGACTTTCAGTGAGAAACCACCAATCAGAAGACTGTGTTTGTTTCCTTACAATAATCTATAATAATGTACATGAAAATCTATAAATATCTGTTGATTTCCTGTTGGTCGGCCCTTATCTTCTGTTATTACACTACTACACAAAATAAAAACTAATAATCATAATGGTGTAAATATTAGACAAACCTACCGAAATTTCACACGGATAATCTGTTATTTGTCCTTCGTGTTGTTGTTTTAATTGTTGTTCAGACAGAATACCAGGGAACAGAGTAAGTACATGTTTAGGATTAATTAACAAGTCAGTGAATAAATTCAAAGCTTCAGGGAATTTCATTTCATGGTATAAATGTATGGCGTATAAGGTGGTTATTTGTAATGTTTCCACAGCATTCTGACCTGCGTATAATCCTGTTCTAGCTAAACATATAGCTAATTCATATTCCTATAGAGAAAAAAAACAGAATAAAGAAGATACATGTAAGCATATACATATATATAAATATAATGATTGTTCCCTTGGATTCCGAGTGGGTGATACAGCTTCTCAGCTACTCAGTAGTTAAGTAATTCAGTGGATTTCTAAGGTACTCTATCAAGCTCGACGCAGTGAACACGAGAATTAGTTTTTTTTTCGAGGGTTCAACCAATAATCTCATAGGGCTTTAATAACAACATGATCTACACTGTCTTATTCTCTATAGGGTCCTGTTTAGCTGCTGGTCCCACGATCGCCTATAGTCTCTTATCTCCTACTCGCGCAATCTCTTCTTATCTGTCACCTTCAGAACGCCCCCCGCCAAATATATATAAAAGTTTCCTTTAGTTCCTAGAGGAACATGGGGCTTCAGCCACCCACGTCTCAATTGCATTCGGTTCTCTGTCAACGTTTTCACCTGGCTCCACGTCTGCCCACATGCTTCCATCTCCTCTTCCTCTATGTTATCCTCGCATTGACGACCAACTAACTCGCCGCTTCCCATTCAGGTTCTACCAGAGTGATGGCCTGGAATGTGATGTCACTCATTTGATGGTTTGTTTCCTCAGAGTATGGCCGATCCAATCCACCTCCATTTCTTCCTGTATATATGTTGCACAATTGGTTCCTGCTGAGCTGCTTCGCTCATTACCAGAGATCCCTATTGCTGATGTTTTCCACCCAGCTATCTGACCTTAAGTAGTATTAAGCGAAGAAAGCTGTTGATGAAGGTCCGTAGTTTGTTCAAAGTGCCCTTCGTGACGCAGCACCAGGTCTCTGATCTGTATAGTAAGTAGCACTGACTTTACATTAGAGTTGAAAATCCGGATCTTATTTTTCATGTTCGAAACTATGTCATCCAGTAAACAATACTGTTTCACTGTGTGATACATCTAATAAAAAAACTAATATGGAAGTAGATATCTTGGCATGTATAAAAAGAAAGTTCTAGCATGGTACAATATTGTTTACTTAGATGTTTTATTTCAACATCAACAAACATAACTCTGTTGGTGACCACCAACCTATGAAGATTCACCCATCATTGTGAACTTTTTGAATTATTATTAGACTGTTAGTGGTAAACGTCAGCCACCTCGAAGGAACCGATATCCTCTCCCCCACCCCACCAGATCACCCAGTTTTAAACGTTTCTACTAAACTGTTCGGCATCATGACAAATCTCATGTAAGACTGTTATGAATATATTGATTGCTAAGTAGACAATCATAGCGTCTAGTCATTTGGAGTGTTGGTAATGACTGAATTGAGTAAGTCAGGTACATCATGTGGAAACGCCCTCGCCGTGGTCTTCGGATTGGCACTTGGCGATGTCTGGATCACTGATTGTCTTCAACAATCTAACAATTCACAACTTAGATGGTTGGAGGTAATCGGCCACAGGAAGCCTTGACTAGACCTAGGTTTCGTGCTAGTTGGCACTCATCATAAAGGTGTATCTGCAACCTTGAAGGAACCCATGTCTCTTCTGAGATTCGAACCCGCATCACCCAGTCCCGCCGGCAGTCAGAGATGTTATCACTGAGCTATTCGGACTCCGATTGACCTCCTGTAGGAATGTAGTGGATACTTTGATTGGACACTAATAATTATTGTGATGTGTCTAGTCCTATCTTTGGTGCAGACTGAATTCTATCAGTCAGGTTGGCAATGTGGCCACCATTCAAGGGAGAACTGGACACATCACACTAATTATTAGTGTCCAATCAAAGTATCCACTACATTCCTACAGGAGGTCAATCGGGAGTCCGAATAGCTCAGTGGTAACGTCTCTGACTCCAGACGGCACTGGGTGACGCGGGTTGAAATCTCAAAAGGGGCATGAGTTCCTTCAAGGTTGCAGATACGCCTTGTTGATAAGGGCCAATTAGCACGAAACTTAGGTCTAGTCAAAGCTTCCTGCCGCTTGCTTCCAACCATCTGATATCATCAAATCAATGTACACCGTGATGGGGAGCTACCTAGAATGATGGCCACATTGCAAACCTGACTGATAGAATTCAGTCTACACCAAAGAAAGCGTCAGACACATCACACTAATTACTAGTGTCCAATCATTTTACCATCACTTCATAACACGTGAGCAGCTCGAATGTATCAGTGGTAATGTCTCCAATCACCATACTAGTGCGTGATGCAGGTTCGGACCTCAACGAAGGAGGACGACAGATAGTTCTTGCTAATAAGTGCCAACAACCACAAAAAAACCTATTCTCAAGGCTTATCGCTTATTGCCTCCAACCTTCTGTACCATAGTGCGTTGATGTTTTTGAAATGGCAGAATACTCTCCAACCACGTAGATGATCCCGCTTCGAATTCCCACCGACCTACTCCTAAACCTTGCTAGGTCGGAAGTGAAACTAACAACCATACCCTGTAAAACTTCAGACATCAAGCTTGCACAGCTCCGTGTTCCACTCGGAGTGCAAAGGAATGAGAAAATAGCACATATGAATAAATGAAAAAGACACTCTATCTGCCTAACTCACTCACCTTTTGTTTTACTAAATCTTGGATAAACTTTAATCGATTCGCCGAGAGAATAAGCCAAATTTCATTGCCACTACTACCAGTAGAGTGAGGTTTATTTCGGCCAACAGAACTCTCTTTATTTGACTGACGCGAAGATGAATAGTCAGTATTATTAGTAGTAACAGCAGCTGAAGAAGCGGGAGAAAGCGATGTATTCACCGAGGCTGGAGCTGTACTTGCATAAAACCAACCACCAGAATGACACATTGCTGTAACACGAGGTATTGACAGTTGTTGGATCATCTTTTGATTTGGATAAAGTACACGTATTTCAAGCATATCATGCATAGTCTAAGAGGTAAGAATGAAAGAAAAAAGTAACTGAATTCAGTGATGATCAACAAATATTTCACGCACACATTTATTCCCTACCCACCCCGCTTTCTAAGTGAATCTGAAAAAAGGTAGGAACAATAATTTTTGCAGAATATGTCTGTCTGTTTTCGACAGAGGACTTTCCACCGATGTAGACCACTTCAAGTTGCCAAATTCCCTTCATGTAGCACACAAAGCAAGAGAAGAAACTACAAGAAATGCATAATAGAGACAGTAAACAGAGACAGGTGTGAGACAAAGGAATAGTAACAACGAAGAACAATTTAGTTTCATTGGAAATCATAAGTCACAAGGAGTGGATGCATCCACGCAAGGCAGCCATTGAGAACGATCAATTTAAGCCATATCACCAATTGTCTCCAGCCTCCATTTGTTTTTACCATCCAGAGGACCCTGACCAGTTAGTCAGGAAGTCTACATCTACCTCCTCAAGTTTACCGAAGCAATCTCCATCAAACGCTTGAAACCCAATTTATGTGCTTAGAAAGAAGCGATTATGAGTCTTTTCTTGTTCAGCCTGGTTACTGATTTGATTAAGTAACGCCAGAAGATTCAATTGTGTATCATTATTACTGTTGTTTGGGATCAAGTGATTATTATCATTATTAGCATTATATGCATATATTGATAGATTTTTTGTTTAAAAATGACTCTCTGTGTATGTATGTTAAAATTGTTTCTGTACATAAATTTGATAGTCTTTTTTATTTATTTACATTTATTTATTTAAACGCATAAAAAACTTGGTACAATATGGCACCAAGAAGGATGCACCACACAATATTAACAAAAATACATAGATCAAAAGAAAAATAGGAAGAAAAGTAAAAAAAATATATAAGTAGACAACGGACAAAGAACTTCATCTGGAAGGAAAACAGTCATGCTAAACAAGTTCAAACAGTATTCACTAACTATCATCGGTAAGGGAAGAAAGAAGGAAATTGCAACACGTTCACCATTGATTACGATTCTTGGCCATATCCGATAACGTTTCGAGCCATCGATTTGAGCTATCTCTCGGACCCCAACCAGGGAGTCGTGACACACCAACCGATGCTAATCTAGCACAAACATCCTTCATCCCACGACGCCACACGTCATGGACTGACCACCCGTCCGCCTTTTCCATCCCGTCCCAGGGCTAGCTAGTGAACGGAGATCTGTACAGAAGCCTCTGGGATGACATTCGCAGCACATGTCCAAGCCACCGAAGCCGGTGTTTCCAGATGACGACACTCAACAAACGGTGACCACTGTGTTCAAATACACACCGCCGAACCTCAGAATTACTCACGCAATGATGCCATCGAATGCAAGCAATCCTGTGCGGACAGCGATGATCGAATATACAGAGTCGCCGCAGCACATCCTCAGCCTACTTGGAGAGGCCAGGTTTCACAAACATAGAGCAAGACAGCGCGCACCCGACCTTTGACAGCCAGACTAATGTCGCGACGGCCCCAGAGGTGGCTCAAGTTCATGTATGCCACCCTAGCCGTCACTATACGGTTGGAAATCTCATCCGTCACTCCTCCGTCAGCACTCACACAACTAATCAGATACACAGACTTATCAACAACTTCACCCGCAGGAGTGAGTGCAGGTACAGGCGATAATGTCTTTTAGCTGTAAGCAAGCAGCTGATGAGAAGCCAACGAAATAAACAAAAGGATGGTAGTATCTTGTGTATTCTGTACAAATCACCACTGTTGTGCTTGTTGTTCTTGCTTTACTCAAGGTTAACAAATACTCCGACTAAAGTATAAGTGATACAGACGACAATAAGAAGAAAAATTGGAATTTTGGTATTGATAAATACAAAAATATTTTTTTCAACTTCTTGGCTAATATCTGAGTGAGACAAGTTATTGTGTCTCTCATGCGCGTTGTGTAATGGGGTCATCATATCAAAAGAAAGCGAGAGAGACACACACACAGACAAGCATAAATAGTTATGCAAGTGTGAATGCAAGTATTGATTTATCGATAAAATTACGCATTTTATTTTGTCGACTATGAATGTAAAAAAGATCACGTGTTTTACACAAATTACAATAAGACGAAGAGAAAATAAGACCGAAAATTAGGTAAATGGAGAAGAAACTATAGATTTTCTTAGAATATGTAAACTTTCTATTTGGGGGAATTGAGCAGAGACTATATGACGTTAAAAACACATAATGCCGAAAATCAATAAAGATCAATCCATCTTTGTTGCAGGATTTCATCATGAGCTGACATTAGTTAGAGAACCATTGGGAAACCTGGAAGTGCTGCATAGCTGTTACGTCCTCGTTTGGCAGTCTTCATCAGGACACACTCACCACCAGGGTTCGAACCCAGAACCTTCTGGTTACAAGGCGAGCTCGTGGACCATTAAGCCACTGGGAACCGATCCAATGGCCCATGAATTCTAACTCCTGCTTTGTAACCAGAAGGCCCCGGGTTCGAATCCCGGTGGGTACGTACTGATGAAGAGTCCCAAACTAGGACGAAACAGCTGTCCCGTACTCCCAGCTGGTTTTCCAATGGTTCTCTAACCAATTTCAGCTCATGATAAAATCCTGTAACCAATCAAATCCCTACATACCAACACTTGAAAATCCATCTCTGTGTTGAAGAAGATTATTCTGTAGATGAATGTGGCACGTTCGAATGCGACCTTTTAACCAACATCTTAAAGAAGAGAATATTTAACACCCGTTGAAAGAACATTTCCTGATTCTACCTTACGATTGTTATTCTCACTGTTGGCCGATTGTTCCTCAACAACACCAAAGATAAACTATTGCCCTTTGACTACCTCTATGTGTATCTAGTATCGCGCGTCAGATGGCCGGAAAGAATCATCAACAAGAAGAAACTATGGTTGGGAACAAACAAAGCAAGAACCAATCGCCAATCAATAAATATGCAGGAGAAAGAGGATTGAGATGGATTGGACGGACACTCGCTGAGGAGGCCGCTGGTTGACATCGCGCGCGCGTCAGGCCATCGCTCGAGTGGAACCCGACGGAATGGGAAGAGGCGAGTGGGACGTCAGTGCAAGGGTGACATGGAGGAGATCATGTGAAAAGGAGGAATTGAAACAGTATGGACTAACAACATGGATGCAGGTGAAAAGTACAGCAGTACAGAAGCGGCAAGTGGAGACGTGCAGTTGAAGCCCTATGTTCCACTAGGAACCCAAGGGAACACTAATAATAATAATAATAGTAATAATAATGTGTATCTATCAATTTACTTGCTCATGTGGGGCGAGCGAGACATACAGGTCGTTTTGATGCGTGTTTTATCTAAAAGAGTCGGAGAACATTATCCCGCTTGGGTACGAAAAGGGCAACAGTGGATCAATAAGGAGGGCTATAACTGAAAATACACTCAACACTGGTCACTCAGTATGTGTAAGCAGAATTCATTCAAAGTCATCTACAAAGTCAAAAGATAACCTCCAGAAAACGCTAGGTAAGCTTCCGCATACTTTGCACTGCCGAGACCTTAGCGATCTGGATAGGATAGAAAACCCTGATTTATGTACACAGAAGAAATTTCTCCGCACCCTCCTTCTACCCTGGGGTATAACTCCAAGTTCAACTACTTTGTTATCAATGTTTTTTATAAATTTTCTATGAGCTTTCAGTAACATCTTTTTTTAATCAACCCTATATTTACTCTTCCTACCTATTACATAATTTATTTCGGACACTTGTCTCCATGCAGTTTCATTAACTTCCTATTTTTCTGGGTGTCTTTTATATTACGTAGCCCTTGTCACTGCTTACTAATCATCACCACACACCCCCCCCCTAGTTACAATTTGATTATTCATCACATTTTCTGACGTAGGTATGACATCCGGCTATCAACCAAGGAACGTGTGTACTGCTAACCAGTTCGCTCCGTCCTTCTCTATGGCTCTGAAACATGGCCAATACGAGTTGAAGACATGAAAAGATTGACTGTTTTTGATTATAGATGTCTACGATCTCTTTCTCACGTTAGGTGCTATAATAAGGTAAGTAATGTTGACATTAGGTGTAGAGTGTTGGGCAAACAGGGAAAATCAATCGACGAGGCTATAAAGTTACATAGATTGAGATGGCTAGGTCACGTGATGCGCATGCCTAACCATCGCCTCCCCCGATGGGCATTGCTAGCTGATATAGGTGCAGGTTGGAAAAGAGCCAGTGGTGGCCAAACAAAAAACATGGCCTCATCAATCCATGAAATCCTTGACAGTTAAACTGAGTCGGTCAGGTAGGGAGATGCAGACTCCCGGGTTGGGGCCCTCGGGACTGACTCTAGGAATCAATGGCTGGAGACAATAGGTGACATGGCTCAAAATCGTTGTCAATGGCCAGCGCAGATGTATTCGGTCTCTGTAATCTTTCATATTCCTTTCTACCATTACCCATTCTGTTTCACTCTTATACTTGTCAAACTCTGTTGATTCTTTCCACTCTTCTTGCCGATGGTTGTGTGGTATTTGGAACGCGGCGAATCGAAGTGGTGCACTTCGGTGCCAAGTTCTATGTTGAATCCAGACAGAGACAGACATTTTCTGAGACATTTTGATGATGCGAACAATAACTCTAACTCATTTTTATTCTTATCTGACAAATCTGATATACACACACACAAAATAATTACGTACAATCGCAATTGTGTGCAGCTAAGTGAATGAATTCGTCGTCCAAAAAAAGAGACTCTTTGCTGGACTGTTTGTACTTATAAGCATGTTACGTAGACATCTGGACTGAATGCAATACTTTATAATGCAGATCTCTGTTCGCTAGCCAGCTCTGGGACGGGATGGAAAAGGCGGACGGGTGGTCAGTCCATGACGTGTGGCGTCGTGGGATGAAGGATGTTTGTGCTAGATTAGCATCGGTTGGTGTGTCACGACTCCCTGGTTGGGGTCCGAGAGATAGCTCAAATCGATGGCTCGAAAC